TCTGGATATGTCACTAAAGTTTTTAGTTTTCATCCAGATGTTTAGGCTTATGTTCATTTGTTTCTTCGAAAGATAGACATTTATAGTATTATATAAATATGGGTTATTGCATTATTATACATGGAAATTTATTGCAACTTACATGCCTCTGAGTAACTAAGGAAATTGCATGACAATCAAAATTTACATTTAATGTTTGTTCTCCTGTGTTATAATGCAAACTCTACAACAAAACGTATTTTAAGCTTACATTTTCAAAATTGTAATATGAAAGACTAAATTAAATAAAGAGCTAAAGTTCAGTAGGATGTAGCTCAACTGAAATAGCCTGTTTTTAGTATATACAAGGTCCTGGATTCAATCCTCAGTAAACAAACAAATAAGTAAAATAGAAATTAATATTTAGCCAATGGTAATAGAATTCTTCCTTACAATAATTTTTTGTAAAAGAAAAGATATTCTGTTGTATATCATCCATATAATTTAATTACCAAAATTTCCTTTGCCTTTTCTCTTTTTGCAAAAGTATTCAATATGTGAACTCACGTTTTCATGTTTATTGGAAGAGTAGCCTGATCATCTAAGCAATCTTAATACTAAATCCTTACTTTGTTCACTAGGGGTAAAGTAATGGAAATTTCTAAGATGTTTGAAAAATTAAAACTAGGTTTTAAAATATTCGCTACTATCAAACTTTTCTATTCTTTTGTTATGAAAAATACTTTGTTGAATAATACTCTGCAGAACTAGTTTGCAATCTGGTGATTTCCTAAAAAAATTAACATTTTATCCTTATTCTGATTCTTAGCATATAATAATAAGCTATATAATATATGATATTATTTATAATTTATAATAAGCTCTTATCCAGAACGTACCAATTCTTATAGACCAGTAGATACAATTGACTTGAAGCACAAATAAAATAACAGAAGTTCATATATTATTTACCAAGCTCAAATGTTTCAATTCCACATCTCATTTGTATACAAAAGATTTGTTGACCCAATTCCTTAGAACCTAGTGTTCCAGCCTGGGTTACTAGGATAAAAACCCCAACACACACAAGGATGCCAAGAACAACAAGAAGATGATCTTCCCAAGAGGGGAAAAATCATTTGCTGTATTAACCATGTGACAACTAACACTGTGAGAGGGCCCTGGGAGTCAGAATGGAGCCTGATGGTGTATCTACGGATATTGTGAGTGTCTCTAATAGGGATTATTAGCAATATCACTACGACAGTAAACTGCTTAGGAATATTCCTTAAAATATGAAGCTAGCCTTTCTACATTTCAAAATATTCCCAAACCATCAGATACAGCTCATAACAAATGTCATATTTACAAGTCTCTTTCTCTTGACTGTGAATGCCCTAACAAGGAGGAGGGTCTGCACTGTATTTATACTCCCCACTGGAACCCATCCTGTTGATTTAATCCACTACGAATCAGTGGATATTAGATGTCAGACTGTAAAAATAAGTCCAAGTAACAGAAGAAGAGTCAGATTATACCCACTCAGCATTGTTTATAAATACAGACTATTGTATGAAATATACTTGCAATTTTTTTTAAAATCAATAAAATACTTCTTTTACACAATGAAATGTTGTTCTAAAAAAACCAAGCCAATTACTTTTATTTAAGTCAATGAAGCTAGGCTAATGAGGTGATACCAAACTACACACTTTATTTGCAAGTTTTAATATGATTGAAAAAATATTTAGCAAGTTATAATATACTAGAAGAAATATTTAAAATTTAGATTACTTTTATGCATTTTGCTACTACTGTGATGTGAATAAACATGTTTCCCCAAATATCTCCTTTTACTTCAGTTTATCCCAATATTTTATAGGTTTGCAAATAATACTGAAAGTCTTGACTTTTGGGAATCCTTCTTTCTATAAGATGAAGCTATTATGTAACTGTTGTTTTTATTGGTCTATTAGTAATTTTATGATATTCCTGAATCAAATACATACATTAGCCATTAAAGAAAATATTCTGTAGAAATTGTGTGTGTGTGTCTATTTCATTTGTAACAAAGCCTTAAACTCTTTTACAACCCAGAACTCATTGTTGAGTGTGAGGTTTTGTTACATGTAAGAAGGAATACTAGCCCTACAATAGTTGGCAATGTGAGAGTTTGTTAATAACTCACACAATTGACTCTGAGAAGAAAGTTAATGTGAAAGCTAAAAAAAGAAAAGAAGAAAAAATCTAAATTATTACAACTACTATATAATGATTAATTGCTTTCATCCACACATATGTATATATATATATCTAAATGTAGTTACATATTTATTTGTGCATCTCTATATTTCTGCATATATTCAGATAGCAAATTTTAATAGAAATGAAATATGTTATCAGTTTGAAGTTCCACATAGTAAGTATAGATACAAAACTGGGTTTCGTTTAAAAATTTGATATCGTATTTTTCATATTTAGAATTGTATATTTATTTTATGATGGCTTTAAAGATTTACTGCACATTTTCTCCACAACAAAGAAATAAGTGTAAATTTACTGCATATCTTCTCCTCAACAAAGAAATAAATGTAGACTTAATAAGTGTAGAAAAATTGCACAGAAGTCACAGGATTGATATGCTTTGATTTCTATATCCCGAAAGCTTTAAAAATAGGAGTCCAATAGAAGCAAAAAACACTACATTTTGGAAGGGACTACCAAGTTGTTCTGTGTAATCAGATGAATCATGAGTGTTCATCTCAATGTTCTCCACTATAAAACAAAAGGGATGTTAATAGTATCCAGAAAAATTGTATTAGAGATAATAAAACTAGCTTATATCTCTATGTAGCTATATAATAAAAACAACTATTGAGTCTTTTTTAAAGTAAATAATAATGTAAACATTAACTATGTAATATATTATTCATGACTTCTAGTACAGGCCGTAGTACATGACAGGTTTTAACCTCATAATTTCTCTTACAAGCACTTGAGAAACCTGTAGAAACTTGGGTGAAGCATTTGAAGTTATGCAAAAATCAATGATATGAATATCTTTACAAACTGAGCATATTTCTTCTTACTTTGTCTTTTACAATACGTATATATAGTTAGAATTGTCTCTAAAGTAAAAATGGAGAGTATACATGTTTCTGATGTAGAAAAACAAAGAAGAATTTTCCCTATTAGCTATTCAGACTTATTTTAGAAGTGCAACAATGAAGATGCCACAGTTTTTGTCAAAGGTTAAGAGAACTGATAAAAGAATGTAACGGAGCACACCCTCAGCTTCCAGGAAACTTGATTTACGCAAGGGGAAAGATTTCATTAAGGGAAAGGGTCAATTGTTTTTAAATGGATTTAGGAAAACTTTTATGAGATAGCGGGGATTGTTATTATATTAAAAACTACCACAGATAATTCAAAGTGTTGGCCAATATGTAAATCAAGTAGAACTCCATTGGAGTGCAAAAGTGGAAAATGATTTTTCTATGTTAGTGCATTATACTGGCCTGGTCTTTGACCCATTGATGTAGATTTCTTCCTAAGCAAGATACAATGATGCCAGTAGAATTCTGACTGTAATAGATGATCATTATATTAGTAAATGTTTGCTTGTTAACATTTTTGTGTGCATATATATGTGTACATGTGTGTGTATATATGTGTATATATACACACTTATATCTGCCTAAGAGCCATATTAAATGTATTAGCCAAATTCAATTATAATTTTTTTTTAATTTTCCCTCTAGATGGGGGCTGGTGGCTCACTCCTATAATCCTAGCTACTCAGGAGGTTGAGATCTGAGGATTGAGGTTCAAAGCCAGCCTGAGCAGCAAAGTCTGTGAGACTTTTACCTCCAATTAACCACCAGAAAACCATTTGAGCTGTGGCATCCCGGCCCAGAGTTTAAGCCCCACCACCAACCAACCAAAAACAAAAAATTCCCTCTAGAGCTGATATGAATTACATAGTATATGATGCCATATCAGCATTTGATAAATGTAGACAATTATTTATTATGAACCTATTTCTCAGAAATAAAAGTTCCTTTTCTTTTTTTCTTTTTTGCTTGCACCAGGATTTGAACTCTGCCCGTTCTTGCTTGCCTTCCTTTCTAGTACTTGAGCCATATCTTCAGCTGACTTTTTCCTGGTTTTTGTGAGGTGGATTCTCACAGACTTTACTGCTTGAGCTGGTGTTGGACCATAATCCTTCATGTCTCTGCCTCTTGACTGACAGTTGTAAGCAGAAAATAACTAATTCTAAAAGAAAAGAAAACAGACAGTAGGAGTTGAAATGGTCAAATAAAAATGTCTTACAGCAACAGGAACTAAACAGTCCTTGATTTATAAGGGTCAATTTGCAAAATTTTTGACTTTATCATTGTGATTTTAGGGCATCTGAGCCTGTTATAGTTTGACTTACTTATTGAGGTTTGCTCCTAAAAGTGGACTATCAGCATGGTCCAGTTTCTTGACACATGGCCTTTCAAATGCAGCTTCCTTGTAGCTTGGGGAGCATCTAGTAAATTGGATCAGGAATCAACACTGATGGGCAAGTCAAAGAAGAATTGAGAGGGTGTAAGAACTTTAACCAAGACAAATATATGATTTCTAGTACATAGAAACTCTTTATAAACTTAAATGCTACCCCCAGCAGCTTTGATGAGTGCTTCCTCGTCTCTATTTTTGCATCATATATTAAAAATATGAAAGAGTTTTGCATGCAACTTGATGAAATTCAATACTGAAGTATTTTTTTTTTTTGCTCTAACTTCATTTCCTTTCACAGGCCTCTGAGGAGCTATGTATTATTATTATCATTATTGTTTATCTTAAGTATGTATTTATTATCTTTAAATAGTCGCTGAAAGGAGTGGTCATTTGACAAAGCAGTTGATGCATACAATGAAAACATTTTCACTTTCTTATTTTTTGATGTCTAAAGGAGAGCAGAATGCCATCTTAATTGCTCATTTTGTTTTCTTCTATCCCCCTTCCTCTTTAAGGTGAAAGTCTGGTTCCAGAATAGGCGAATGAAGTGGAAGAGGGTTAAGGGAGGGCAGCAAGGAGCTGCAGCCCGAGAAAAAGAACTGGTGAATGTGAAAAAGGGCACACTTCTGCCGTCTGAGCTTTCCGGAATCGGAGCGGCCACCCTTCAGCAGACAGGGGACTCTCTAGCCAATGAAGACAGTCACGATAGCGACCAGAGCTCAGAGCATGCTCACTTATGATATCCACAGAGAGGACCAGCTCCATTCTCAGGAAGAAAACGTGATGGCATCATCGTTTACACACAGAGATGACTATGATAGTGATGGTTATTGAACCCGGGCATCGCATCCACCTGTGTTACATGGTTGGTGGAGGGTCTTACAATAAGTGCCTCTTATTGAAGGTGAAGAAGGTGAACTTGCTTTCAACATTCCAAATCTGTTTGGTTGCATGCCTGGCAGCGACAACGGTGTGTGTTGGCTTTTGCTTGCACTGAAAATTAAGTTGCTACCCAGAGCAAATTTGAGAAGACCTCTTTTTTTTTTTTTGTTTTAAATTCAGGATGCTTCCAGAATGAAGATACCAAAGACAAAATTTTGAACATTGAACATTCCAAATGCACAAGGTCATGTATATGACAGTGGGCAGATATTTGCTTTTGCTTGCACTGAAAATTAAATAGCTATCAAGTATAGACCGTGAAGTATTTTATCCTGAACAGCCACAGTGCCTGAAATCACCAAGTGGATTTTTTTCAAATGTATTTTTAACTCTGTATATATTACTCTTAAGTCATTTTTCTGTCTTCACTAATTTTAGCAATGCATTCATATTAGCTAATGAAAATAGGTAGCCACATTGCCAACCAGAAACAGCTTCTTATATTTTTAATACACTCTGTCATTCAGAGACCAGCACATGCTTACCTATGTCCAAGTAGAAGAAGACACATTAGAGTCTGATAGGGCATATTCTTGTACCACAGACAAAACAAACCTTATGTTGCATATGCTCTCAACTGCTGCTGCTACTACATTATAAAACTTAACCTTGCTCCTAAATTCTTCCTATCTTATAGCTTGAAACTTAATATTAGGATCATAGGAAATGCAGTTACCTTGCAGAAGGAACTTTGTATGGCAGACATTGTTTGATTTTATTTCTATAAATAATGATAGCTCTTGTGGAAGTGATTTAACTATCAAGGAAAACTTTATCCTTATTGGTAATGATATTAGACAAAGTGAAAAATGAGGCCAATGTTTCAAGTGAATAGATGACAAGATTCCAAATATCTCCAAATTAAGTTCAGTAAAAATACATTCCTGTTCATATGTGATATGTTTGTGCACGGCAACAATCATTGTATTTTGAAAAGAAGTTTAATAAATGACCTTTGTAAATAATTTTGATCTCTTTTCTGTTATTCTGTTAATTTAGTTATTGATTTTGGGTACTGGTCCTGGGGTTTGAACTCAGGAACTAACGACTGTCCTTGAGCTTCTATTGCTTAAGGCTTGAGCTATATTGCTTGAGTCACAGCTCCACCTTCAGCTTTTGTTTGTTTGTATATTAATTTATTTAATCACTTATTGGAAATAAGAGTCTCACGGACTTTCTGGCTGGTTTCAAACTGCAAACCTCAGATTTCAGCCTCCTGAATAGCCTCCTGAATAGCTATGATTTCAGGGATTAAACCACTGTCTGAGTTCATATTTTAATATATTTAAATATATACATATATGTAATATCAGTGCTTTAAAATGTCTCCGATTATCTGTTCTTATGTAATCCTGATAGAAGTAACTAGAACAAAATATACATTTCTGAATTTTTAATATTGCAAAAAAGCTCAATTTTGGGGTAGTCAAAGAGCACCTAAGAGTATATACTACAAATATTTTCAATAACTTGAATTATGTAGAAAATGGATTTCTTTGTGTACTTTATGAATAGAAACTAAAGGTAGAAAACAATATTATTTAGCAAAAATAGATAAACATGATGTTTTCATATTTTAGTGGGTATGTACAATATAAGCATTAATTAATCCAATTAACTTATTTTATTTCACTTTGGTGGTGTTGATTTTCATACCCAATGCATTGTGTATGCAGACTACCACTGAGCTGTACTCCCCCAATTTTGCAATAGTTTTAAAGTGGTCATCCAGACACTGGTGAGATGAATTAAGTAGATTCAGCTCTGTGGGAAATTGCTGACAGATGTTGCAGTTTAATGTAATAATTAATCTATTTAGTATCATGAATGATTAGAAATACATTATAACTATCTCATTGTTTTTATTTGTTTTATGTTATAATCAGAAGAATGTGGGAGCATCGCAAACATTTACTTTTTCCCCAATGAGTTAAAAATAGTAATATAGAAAAGTATCTAGCAAAGATTTCCCAACCCTCATTGTTCATTCATTGATGATGGTTATGATGATGATGATGTTTATGTACATGTGTATGTGTGGGTATGTGGGTGGGTGGGTATGCCAGGGTACGAACTCAGGGACTGAATGTTTGACCCTTAGCTTTTTTATTCAAAGCAAGGGCTCTACCAGGTAAGCCAAATCTCACCTTATGGTTTTGGTGGTTGATTTGTAATAAGAGTCTCAATGACTTTCTTACCTAGCTGGCTTTGAACCACAATCCTTAGATCTGATATTTTGGAGATAGCATCTCCTGGGCATTTCTGCCCAGGCTAGCTTCAAACAAGCCCCCTGAGTAGCTAAGATGATAGGTGTGAAATGGCACTGGCTTAAAATAAGATTTAAATTAAAGACAACTTGAACATCCAGTAAAAAGTCAGTACATATGCTAAAAAATTAAGAAAAGTGAGGGAAGCGGGGGTGGATTGGTAGGGAGAAGTAAGAATGTTCAAGGGGTGACAGACTGTGACACATTGTATTCATGAACTGATGTGTTGAATGGCAGTTCCTTTGTACAAATACGGAAGGATAATAATGAAAGCTATGCTGATAGATTGGAGAAATGGGAAGAGATCTATCAAATTGAGTGCAGCAGGGAACAAGAAGTAGCTGAAGCATTCAGGTTTCTCATGAAATAGGAAGAAGTAAGAACAGTAGTTTAATGTGCTACAGAAAAGTCAAGTGGTTCAGAATAGACAGGACAGTTAGGAAATGCAAAGCTTATATAAGAAGTCATACCTTCACCACAGGATCTTGAGTTAGTCTAAAATGAAATTTGACCTCAGAGGACATGAAGAGGTAAGAAAGGCAATATGGCAGGATCAAAGTGACCCCAAATGTAAGACATTGGACGCATTGGAAAACTAACAAATAAGCAAGCCAACTGATGTTAATTACAACAAACTTTTTATATATGACAGTTTTTGTTTTGTTTTATTTCTGGCATTGGTTTATAGTACTGAGATTTAAACTTTGTGAATGCTAAGCAAGAGCTGTACCACTAAACTTTAGAACCACCCCCAGACTAATGTTAATTATAACTCCCTATTCTTCTGCTGTATTTTAATTCACCCATGTTTAAAATGAAGCACATGTCAGCTAGATAATAACCTCATTATCTTTCTAGAGTTAAAAGTTCTATGAGGGGAAGTACAATCTTCTAATCAATTATGTAGGTTCAATTTACTCTATGTTTACCAACAACCTAAAAGAAAAGAGAAAACAACAAAAACAATAGGTTATTTTCTCCTTTCTTTCTTCTTTCCCTCCCTCTCTCTCTTTTTTTTCCTGTGGCTTTTTCACTTCCTACTCTACCACTTGAGACATACTTCTCTTCCCTTTGTGCCTTGTTTTTTTTTATTATTATTCTCATTTTACCTCTATACTTGCCATTTCCAACATTACTGCTTTAGTGCAACAAATTTATATATACATTCTTGTTTTCTTTTTTTATTAATAAGTTTTTTTATTGTGAAAATACTGAACAGAGGGGTTACTATTACATGGGCAAGATACTGAGTATATTTCTTATCAAGCATTGTTGCCTCCTCCTTTGTTTTCCCTTACCATCCCTGCTCTCCCATCTCCTTCTGCCCCCCAAAGTTGTAAAGTTCGTTTTTTCACATAACATCTTGTATATTTCATTGTTACAATGGGTCCAGCTGTATCCCTATTTAAACAATTTGTTTTTTCCCTTCCGCTCCCCAAATTATACCAACATCAAATACAATGAAAATAGGGGTTATACCATGGGGGAGGGACAGAAAAAGCAACAAAATAATCACCTTATAAATATGTTACAAACAATAGCAAGAAAGAAAAACCACTTAGTCCTTATCTTGGGGTTCATTTTGCCTAACATCAACTTATCTGACCATTTCTGCTTGTCTCAGACATATAATAGTTATTGCAAATAAGGAAAACCATGGGACCTATGTTTCTTGGGCCTGGCTTACTTCACTTAATATAATTTTTTCCAAGTCTTTCCATTTCCTAACAAATGAGGGCAATGTCATTCTTTCTGATGGAGGCATAGAATTCTATTGTGTATATATACCACATTTTCTTAATCCATTCATCTAGTGAGGGGCATCTGGGTTGGTTCCATATCTTAGGTATGGTAAACAATGCTGCAATAAACATAGCTGTACTGATAGCTTTAGTATGGTCTTGTTTGTGATCATTTGGGTAAATGCCCAAAAGTGGGATTGCTGGATCATGGGGAAGCTCTATGTGGAGTCTTTTGAGGAACCTCCATACTACTTTCTAAAGGGGTTGAACAAGTTTACATTCCCACTAACAATGCAGAAGGGTTCCCTACTGGCCACATTCCCTCCAGCATCTGTTGTTATTAGAGTTCTTGATCATAGCCATTTTAACGGGGGTGTGGTAGTATTCTCTTCGGAGGAGTTTCTCTGTAAGTCTTTAGACCACTTATTTATTGGGAAGTTGTTTCTTTGAGGATTTGTTGTTGGAGGATTTAATTTTTTGAATTCTAACTATAGTTTAGATATGAGACCCTTGTCCTTTGTATGGCTAGTGAAGATCTTCTCCCAATCTGTGGGATTTCTATTGATTTTGCTAGCTATGTCCTTTGCCATGCAGAAGCTCTGCAATTTCATGCAATCCCATTTGTTCAACCTTTCTTTGATTTGTTGTGTTTCTGGGTCTTTATTAAGAAAATTTCAGCCTGTGCCAAGGAGACCTAGAATTTCTCCTATTCTGTCCTGGTGCCTGCTTTGATCCAATTGGAGTTGGTTCTGGTGCAGGGTGATATATAAGGATCTAGCTTGAGTTTTCTACAAGTGATTAACCAATTTTGCCAGCACCATTTCCTGAAAAGGCTGTCCTTCTTCCATTCTATTTTTTTAGGCTGTCTTTCTTCCATTTCATTTCTATTTTCTATTAGATATCTATAGGTCTGTGGGTTCATTTGTGGGTTTTCAATTCTATTCCATTGGTCCTGACGTCTCTTCTTGTGCCAGTTACCAAGCTGTTTTGATTACTATGGCTTTGTAGTAGAGTTTGAAATTTGCTATTGATATTCCTCCAGCACTGTTCTTTCTGTTAAGGATTGTTTTTGCTATTCGGTATCTTTTATTGTTCCATATGAATTTTTGATTGCCTCTTCTATTTCCTTGAAGAATGAGGTTGGAATATTGGTAGGTATCACACTAAATTTGTAGATATAAGTATAGTCATTTTCAGGACGTTGATCCTTCCAATCCAGGAGCATGGGAGGTTTTTCCACTTTTTAAGTTCTGTTTTGATTTCCTGAGATCCAAATAGGGAAAGATGAAGTAAAACTCTCCCTCTTTGCAGATTACATGATCTTGTGTGTAAAGAATCCCATGGACTCCAGTCCCGAAACACTCGAGCTGATTCAAAACATTGGCAAAGTAGCAGGGTATAAAATTAACACTCAAAAAACAATGGCCAGACATCAACTTCTCTGACCATTTCTGCTTGTCTCAGACATATATTAGTTATTGCAGATAAGGGAAACCATGGGACCTATGTTTCTTTGGGCCTGGCTTACTTCACTTTATATAATTTTTTCCGAGTCTTTCCATTTCCTAACAAATGGGGGCAGTGTCATTCTTTCTGATGGAGGCATAGAATTCCCCACGGTATAATCCCTGTTTTCACTCTATTTAGTGTTAATATAATTTAGGGAGGGAAAGAGAAAAAACAAATTGTTTAAATGGGTATACAGGTGGACTCATTGCAACAATGAAATGTACAAGATGTTATGTCGAAAAATGAACTTTACAACTTTGGGGATGGGAAGATGGGAGTGCAGGGATGGTAAGGGGAAACAAAAGAGAAGGCAACAATGTTTGATAATAAATGTACTCATTACCTTGCTCATGTAATTGTAACCCCTCATGTAATTGTAACACTTATTAATAAAAAATTTAAAAAAATCAGTGACTTTTCTG